TGAGCGTAATATCAATGAATTCGTGCAGTCGTGCTGCAAAAAGAGTGGGACGAACCCATTTATTCAAACACGCATGGGTTGAACAGAACTCCGCTCATAGCGGGCTAGGCGCTCACGAATTGTGTCGTGTATGTGCGTGTGCTCTGCCGAAAATTTTTACCTCCTGTTCTACTGTACGGGAGCGTCTAGATTTGGCGGAGACGTGGGCAGCAGGCGATTTCCACACGGAAGAAGAGGATTCTCTTTCTCACTGCGTTGAGAAAGAGCTGCGTAATTTAGGAGACGATGCCCCAAACCCTCTATCAACTATGACCACTTCACTTCCTTTGCGTGTGAATGGAAAGATTTCGTTATCGACAAAAACGGTGAAGAATACAACCAGCCAATATTTTCGCGATAGTGCCAGAAAAGAAAAGGGTCTATAAGTAGCCAAGGGAGGACTTATTTTCGAATACTCTCGAGCTGATATGCGAGCGGAGTCGCGCTGCAGGCAATCGTCAACAGACATCCAACTTGCAAAGCTATGCAGAAAAGCGATAAGAGAAGATCCAAAGTAGAGAAGAGCAGCGATTAAGGGAGAAGCCGCTGAGGCCTGAAGGAGCATTCGCAGAGCCCGGCGGAGCTTCGTCATTTATGAGACCAAGATGACTTCACTTCATCGTCTTGGCGGAACAGTTACTGCATCAAGAAGGACAATGGGGAAGGTCATCTAAGACTTCTACGAGGACCTCTTCGACGGCCACGTTTATCTGCCTGCCCACCGTCTTAGGCAAAACGAGTTTGTCGCACCTTTGGTTCTCCCTTCCAAAATTCGGCATGCTATGACGTCGATGGGAAATCACAAGGTTACTGATAATTGACGATTAATTGAGTAGCCCAGCTAAGTAGAGATAGGCGAACAGCAAACGGAAAGAAACAAATCGAAAACTGAGGAGTGCTGATGAATGATTGATGAAGTGCTTTGACGAACAGGGCTTTTGAGGAATCAACGGGTCGGCTGGTGGCTAGTTGTTCGAACGGTGAGAGTGACCCGGAATGTAAGTCAAAGAGGCAAGTAGGCTGGGAATTTAGCGTAGAAATGCCGGTCTCGATAGGATCAAGAGAGTCAAAGCTTTCTAAAGAGTCTCCCACCACTTGTCCTTATAACTCTGGCTAAGCTCTTCACGCGGTACATTTGGAACGTAAAGTGACCACGTTGTGGAAAACTAGCCAGAGTATGTTGCGTGTTGCTGTATGAAAACGGAGATCCCGACGATATTGGCAAATATCGCCTGATATGCCTCCTATCTGTAATCTGCAAGCTTTTCACACATCTTTCAGGATTGGCAGCATACTAGACGTAGGACAGCCATGCAAGCGGGGTTTTGGAGAGGTTTTGGCACAATAGATCCTATCCACACTCTTATAGGACTCACTGAAGTTCCACGAGAGTACAAAATGCCGTTGTCTTACTTCCATGGATTTGGAGAAAGCCTCTGATACTGTTGAGACAGAAGCGATAATTGAAGCCCTGAGCAGTCAGGGTGTTCCTACTCGATACATAAGAGTTCTTCGAGAATTCTAGAACGACTTCACGACCAAGATTTTGCCATCTTAAGGGGAAGCTACTTCCAAAGTGGAGGGAGGGACTCGGCATGGCACTGCTATTTCGCGCAATCTTTTCAGTGCACCTCTCGAGAACATCATTCGTCATATGGAATGAGAAGGCATGGGAGTGAACTTCGACGGCCGCTATTTGCATCACCTCTGCTTTGCAGACATCCTGCTTATGACACCAAAGATCGAGCAGGAGGAACAAATGCCGGTCGAATTCGACAGCGCTTGCGAAGAAATCGGCCTAAGGCTGAACCCTACGATGAAGATGTTTATGAGGGAGCATTTAGAGATATCGAGCGAGTAGTGAAAAAGATATAACATCCTGCTCCGCGCTCACCTCTCCGACACTGCTGTCCTTCCTACTTTGACGTATGCCTCGCTTATTTAGACTCTACGAAAGCATAAATTACTGTCACAGTTACTCAACGCGCTTCATACACGCAAGTGCAGAAAGGAATCCAGAGTTCCGAGCTCTGCCATCCAACGAAAATCAGAGATGCAGTTGCTTGCCCCAAGTAATCGAAAATCAGATGGGGCGGTTACGCTATGCGATATCGTGATGAGATTTAGACCAGGGCAGTTGATGACTGGATCCCTCGCGACGTCAGTCGAACACCAAAACGGTTGTCAGCGATATGGTAAAATTTTTCACGGAAGCCCTGAACGAAAGGAATTCTTTGTCCCGCGTCCCCCGAGCGGTGTCGACTCACTGAACTACTCTGGCTCGCTATATCGACAAATGGGGACGTTACTGGCAACCGCTCGATGAAAAGTATTCCCATCTCAGCTCCTCCAATTTTTCATGTTCCCTTTGGCAACCTGGACCCTAGCATTATCGTGCAGTAGGTGGGAGAAGCTCTGACCACAGCATTCTCGAAGGGTAATCACCTCTAATCGCGGGCACTGCAAATTCGACACGCGGCGCATATGCCTATTGCTCGATTTTACGAAATCTCTGTTGTTTTCAATCTTAGCGGTAACTGTCCATAAGAAAATCAGTCCTTCCCTTCAGTTGGCCTAAAGGCTAACCGACCTCTGAAGTGACCCTGTTACTCAACCGAACGTTCATAATCATAAAATTCCAATGTAGCTGGTGGTCATTCAGGTTTGGGGGTAACTGATGACGGAATAACGAGAATACGCTGTGTCTTATTGATTGTGTGTTCCAACCTTGAGGCCCGGTCGTTATTGTGATTTAGGGTGTGGATGTCATAATAGCTCGCGAAAGATGATGAGGCTAGAAGAGGAATGAGAATAGCTTTTTAATTTCAAGCTCCGACGCATTTCCCGCCTAAGTGCCACGGGACCACTGTTGTTGGTGACTTCCCTGTTACACTGTAGGTGGGAATAGCGTTACGGTTCTTGTGATCCTTGCCTTCTTGGACTTGCATTGATCTTGCCCTCTTTACTTATCTCTTTCAATTTGTACCGCTTCCTAACTTAGCATAATTTCCCCATCCTGGCTCCTCCAACCTATCCTTTCAAACTTGAATAGTCTTGATTTCGGAGGACAGGGGTTATGAAGTCCCGGTCAAATGCACCGAATGCACACGAACAAACGAACACCTCTGCAAACCAACATACACACTTAGCGAACTATGCGTATAAGGTTGGATATACGTGTATGTATATCCTTACTAAATAAATATATGTATTGTATAACGCGCTTACTGCTGTCTGTCACGAAATTCGATACTACCTGAAGGAGGACTTGAAGGGGTCGGATCATGTCTAGGGTGGATGGTCGTTGAGCAAGAACAGTAGAGCACAGTGAGTTCTGCCGTGTCCCTTGATCTCCGCCCAGGGGGCGCGGCATGCATCGGAGTCGCGAGAGGCCGTAAGCAAAACATAGTCTGAAGACGAAGAATGTGCCGACGACAAAGGAGACCCACCCGCAGTGGGCGGAGCCTTTCCACAGTGGTCGGTGCTCACTAAATTAACAACCTCATTACAAGACAACGTGGAGGTCAGAAAAAAGGTTTGAGTATTGCCTTGTATGAACTGTTTACATTTGAGCCTAGCGAAACCACACCTACGATGGGCGTTGCGTGTATTCAAATGAAAAAAAGAATTCAAAACATGATATATCCTGCTCAAAAATGTCCTAAAAAGCGAAGAAATAGTCAGACGACAGTAGGATATTAACTCCCTGAGGTGAGCACCGCTAAGATAAAAAGTTCGTGGCTCTGTTCTAAACTTTCTAGGATGCACAGAAAATATTAAACGTTATAGAAAGGACGTGGTAGAACTCTCAGTTCCGGGAGATATGGCACTGAGGTGGGCAGGATCAGAAACTGCGATCAGAAACTCATAACTCTGTTCAAAAACGATCTAGAATGTGGCGGTAAAAAGGAGGGGGGGGGGATAAAGTCCAAAAATCATAACTTTGTTCGAAGAATATCCTGTTCAAAGACTTGTAACGTTTCAAGGTCACCATATATGTAGTCGCCATCATTACTCAAAATCTCCAGAACCTCATCATCACTATCTGTATGATAGAAATCCGCTTTTGTCAGCCTATCTGTCACAAAATTTCATTACCTGAGGAAGCACGTGAAGAAATCGGATAAAGTGTGGGATGGTTGGGGCCTAAAGCTAGATCAACAGAGCACATCTGAACTCAAGGTATCCGCTCGATAAAGTGCGGGATGGTTGGGGCCTAAAGCTAGATCAACAGAGCACATCTGAACTCAAGGTATCCGCTCATGGAGGGCGAAACATGCACCGAAAGGGGTAGTACCTAGATAACGGGAAGAGGTGGGTAAAGGTCAGGAGTAGGTCAACAAATCAGACGAGAACACATGCTACGCAGGCGAGCGTCCTCAAAGTGGGCGGTACATCTTACATGAGCTCATAACCCATCAAAACACACTACTAGATTTATCAAGGTGGGGCTGTTCTAAAAATCCATAACTCTCTTAGATGCTTTCTTTGTTATGAAGCACACGGTTAGTGCGGGGAGCCCTAATGGTGTGTATATTATAGCATACCACTCGGAACGCCCAGCTCACGCCGGGCCTCATTTCTTTTTCTTACCAAATAACTAGAAAATGTATTGAGGAGGGGCACTGATTCCATCCAACGCTGACGGCTAGAGTGCAGAGGAGGGGTAGCCGACCTGACCTGTGCTGAGAAACGGTTCTAGGCGGAAGAATGTCGTTTCAAGCTAGGCTTCAGTAGGGTAGAAGCGGCTGGGTGTGGGCGGAGCGGCGGGGTATGCGCGGATTACTTCGTGCAATAAACTAGGATGGGGTATGGGTTGAATGTGTTGTCTCACCTACCTCGATACCCCTTCCCTCCTGAAGCTCAGATCAAAAAACGGTAAGTTCTCGGCTAAGAAACGTTAGTGAGCAATGTGAATAGCTATTTCATATTGTATTTGACGAATCTCATTCGAGGTTTAGTTTTTTAATAAATGTGAGTGTAACATCGACTGGAATGACTTGGCAGAGATTATGCAGAAAACCGTGCCCTGTGAACGTTCTGTTTCCAGCTCCCCGCACGAAGATGTTCTTGTCACGTTTCTTGTTGATGTGGAGCTGCAGTCGATGGGCGGGCCGTCAGCACGTACACAGCTCCCAATCGGTATCCAGCGAATCAAATCCGACCCTGATATGGACATCACCTCACTATTCAACAATCGTTTTGCTTATGATCAAGAAGCTTACGAGGTTACCTACAGCTAATCACTTATTTGGTAAAGGTTGAAGAATTACACATTGAAAAGGTGCGAGCGCAGTCCTTTGGTCTGTTTCGGTCTACACGGAGCAACCACCTGTTTTTTGTTTGTTGTGACTCTTCACTCAGTGACCACCCGCTGCCCTTCTCTCTATGTAGTGCTCGCATTCGTTGACAAGGATGGGTCCTTGCCCAGGTCTTCGCTCGCTCTTCCTTAACACGCGTTTGCATCTGACAGTTTTGATTTGGGCAATCGAACGGCCATGCGTGAACCGTGCGCTCACTTTGTGCACAGTTTGGCATTCTTCTCCACGGTTACAATTAGAAAATTTTGAGTTCCGTTTGGAAGAAGCTACATTTACTATCAGGTATATGTTGTAATCTTCCAGGTGTTTACGGAACAGTTGAAATAGAATTCACTGTTTGACTTCAGATGGGCTATACCGCTGATCGCGTAGCGTCTGTGGAGCAGTTAGCATCAGCATTACGACGATACCTGTTCGCTGCTGTGCACTGGATCGAGGCACTCTTCTCACTAGCCCAAATCGATAGTGTGCCGGAAAAAGTATGCAACAGGAATATAGTCGTATTTACTCAAACTTAAAAGCTCTTGGTACTGTGTCACTAAAAAACCTAGACGTGAACTGTGCTCTTTTTAGGTCGCTGTTCTTAAAGGTGTCTTTGCCCCTTACACGATCCTCTGTCAAGCGGCGCGAACTGCTCAGGTAATAAAAACTCTGTGTAATTCAACCAGCGTTTATTTTTAGAGCGAACCCTTTTTAGAACCTCTACATTCGATCAGAAAACACTTTCTTTAAAAAATTAGTGGTCCAAAATGTGTTTTCTAGTAAAGTGGCGTAAAAGAAGGGAGTCAAGGATTTCCCACAAAGTTTATCGAAGAGTGATCACAAGTTGTCTTTCGAAATTAGATGTAGGTAAAAAATATGCTTCCCATTTGCTGTCTTCGAATCCGGATATGCAAAACGATTCTATGGAAATGAGGAGGGTGGAAACATCGAAAACAAGCAGAAAAGAGCTGGTATACCTAGGTAGTAAAAACACCATAAGTTTACTTTTCCTGAACAATGGGTTAGGTTTTTTTGAAAATGAGCTTTTCAAAAATACCTTCTTTTCTACGTTCAAAAACTCTTCAGTGATCTCAAGTTCACGCCCTACAACTTCCAAGGTACTTAGGCTAATCCGGTTGCTGCTAATTCTATGCATAGAATTGCACTGCACTCGTTTATTATTTATTTATTTATTTATTTATTTATTTATTTATTTATTTATTTGGGTACACGAACAGAGTTCCCACGAACACAAATACAACAAAGTTCCGTTGAACAACGTTACATGCGACATAACTGAGAAAGAAAAAATACAAATGTGAACGCAATAAAACTGTAATATAGTTAGAATAAAATGGAATTTAAATGAAAAGGAACCCTAAGGAAACCCTTGAGGCAGGCGTAACTAGAAATCATTCTCTTGAAAGCAGCTAAAGAAAGCTTGAATATATGACCTTTAAGCAATTTGTTGAAGTTCGCAAGCACTTTAATAGAGAAGTAATTGCATCTGACATTGGTCCTACTTTTCAGAGGCCTAAGCTTAACTTTAACTCTTCTAGTATTAGAGGTGACAAGACAGAGAAAATCAGAAGGTACAAGATTAGTTCTATCTGAAGGATTTTGAAAGCCATAACTAGATCGAAATTCTTCCTTCTATTGCACAAGCTGGCTAAACCGATTTGCTTTCTTCTTTACTCTCCTAAATGCTGACTGGAGCAAAGCTGCAGGGTTCCCTGACTCTCCCTTCACAAGTTTGACCTTGGCGTCCCAGATCGTAAACACTTTAAGTATACATACCTTCTAAAATATTCACTTTATTCACTTGATACAGTAGTCTTCTGGGATAATGAAAACAGTGATTTGTGCACGGGCTGGCCTCCGCAAGCGGAAGGTGAGCTACCTTTAAATAAGCTTTTTACGATCTCGAATGAAAACGAACTTATGTATACTCAAGACGATTCAGCTCATACAGGACACTATGTTTCCGTTGCTTTAGCCTTCTATATGCTTATAAATTGACTTTTAAGATGTCCCGAGACGTAGATGTGATCTGCTTATGTAACCGTACCACGATTACGAGGCAACCTCCACGACATCTTCTCGAGACGAAGTGAGTCAAGTTGTTACATTATCACATCCTTTTTTTCGTCGTCTCGAAGTCATGGGCTTCTGGACGATGAACTTCAGTAACGAACAATCGCTAGGGCGCTACTAAGGATACTGGGGTCGCATTGGCTGTTCAAGCTGGCTGATCTCATATCGACCTTCGACATATGCTAAATGATTTTGGGGACGGAGATTTTGAGTTTTTATGGACGGGAGCATTCCTTCCTATGGCATACCACTGCGATATACAAAGAAGTGGAACGGCTAGACAACCCATCATCATACAGCGATGTTGCGTTGGACTGATAGAGAGTCGGAGGTTTGGATTCTTGATGCACGCGCTCGTTCTGCTTTTTCATTGAACGTGTCCGAAAAAAATTGCAAATGCTTTCACATATCATTTTTGCTAGTTACAGCCCTCTTTCACTTATGTGAAAAACTGGAATGCGTTCCAAGAGAATTTTTTCTTTCTTCCAATTCTCGTCGAGTAAGGGTGATGCTGAAGTCCTATGAAGAGAAGTCGAGGAGTTTGCTCAAGATGGACATAATCTCGGCGATTCTTCAAAACCTTTGGCAGAAAGGCGCCTTATCATTTATGAGACCAAAGCGCTCACCAACATACTCCCAACGATATGTTCTGGCCGAAGTTATCGTACTTTTTGAGGCTTTTGATTTCCACGACATTTCGTGAGTACCCCTAGGTGAAGCGGAATGTGACAGGGAGCCTTGATCTGCTATGTTGCGTATGACAACCGTGCTATCGACTGCGTGTGAGAAGAGTAAAGCGATCACAATGTCGGCCACCTGTCTGTTCACCTGATGGCACATTCTTTTGAGTTCTCTTTTATCATTATGAAATATATATGTTGAGAGAAACTGAGAGGAACCGTAATCTTTCAGATTAGTCTCTTTTTTACCTAATATGGCATCTTATGCGGTTGTAACAGCGAACGCATCTACTGGCCGGGCTTTAAGCATAGACTGAGAAGTTGAAAGGATGAGTAGTCGTGGAAATGAATATGGAAGCCTCACTGCAGAGCGATGTCCACCGAGTTGCGCCCAAAATCAAAAAGGATGGCTTTGCAGAGCGCAACTTCGAAGCAAGTAAGATGGATTGAGGGCATCAAGATGAGCTGTAGTATCGCGTCCAGGAAATGATGAAAGTATTTCCTCCGGAGTAGAGATGCAGCTCTGCTCGTTCTGTGGAGTTGGGGAGCTGTCGATGGTCACTGTGAAGCGTGAAAGGGTCTTGTAAGCTTTCAAACACGTTTTATGAAAAAGCAAATCGGATACATGCATCGAGGATTTAAACCTCCATGCCTCCCCTATGCAAATCCACCGACCACCATCCACCAAGATCGCTTCACGATAGGTTGATTACTCTGCTCGTTGACAACGTGAGATCAGCCTTTGAAGACACATTTCACGATAGAAATGGTTTCTGAGATAGCCCACTTCGATGAATGTGTGACCCCTTGTGTGCTATGTATATATGGCGCTGTCCTCGCTGAAACGGCCTTTTTGGGGCTTTTAAAAGCTTAAAGGTTGTCCAATATGTTCGGGCGAGTTTCATCGGAATTGAAGAAGCTGCACCATTACAAAGGGAAACCATGTAGGTGTTCAAATAACTTACCATGACCGATAGCGACAGTGTAAGACAGTTCTGGACAGTTTTTTCTTGACGAAATCAGTTCTTTAGGCTATTGCAACAACTGAAATCTCGTCCGGATTTGTCTTCGATGTCATTTCGGTCATGGTAATCTCATACAACCTCTATTTCCGCTACTTTTGAAAGCCTTAATTCTGCGAAATCGGCGAATTTCCTCACTTCCTTCACCCCCGATGCACTATTCTCTGCTTCCGCTTTCCGACTCAAAAAGAGTACCCCGAGATTATCGTAAACTATGCTTTTAAAAACACAACGATATACATCTCAACTTGAATAGCCACTGCGACCTAATATCCCACTCTTGTAAAAAGTCCCATTTTTTGCATTCCCACTTTTAGAATCTTGGCAAATTTCGTCAGGAGAATAGCTCGGAAACTGTAAATTATCACTCGGGACTGTTTCTCACTATGAGCTCACTATGTACAGTTTATTGATTTGTACATAGACAGTGCTATAAATAAATTTCTACGAGAACGTGATCGCGCTTCCAAGTGCAAATATGAGTTGATAAACATGATCAACAGCAAAAATATGTAGTCCTTTGCTTGCACTAACGACGGCGCACAACAGACGCTGATATTTCTTATGTGTGCAATTTCTTTCGGACTGAGTCGCTTTCCACCAAGCCAAGTGAACCGTTTCAGCCTCCTCGCCAATAATCTGGTGCCTCGAATCCTCGACGACCTGGTTGCGCCTATGCGAAAGTTATCCCTAAGTGAGGCTGAGATCGTAGTATTGTCCGCCTTGGTAATTTTGGATCCAGGTAATTTCATTGACGTTTTGTTATGTAATGTCCAACGCCTGCCCCTTGTGGTAGCGTTTATTGGAATCGTTCCAGTTATGCCTCATTACCTTTGTAATAGATTCGCCTGGATTGTCGGAATCATCATCGCTCTCTCTCGGTCAACTTCGCGATCGTGTGCAGAACGCATTATTCCAGCTGATTCGAGAAAACTCGTCTGTGCTTCACAACGTGACAAGTCGTTTTGGCAACATTCTACTCCTTCTGCCGCCTCTTGCGGTCAGATTCATTTTAAAATTCATTTACATAATAAACAGTCGAATCGCAGAGTCCATGCCGGGCTCCCTCTTGCTGTGTTAGATCTAGTCTGCTGCCTACATCACTCGCAAATTCGGACGTTTTTTTGCAGTACAACAAACCTTATGAATTTCCGGTCGAGCACATCCGACGCACTTCCTGCCCTCGCCCATCACGAGCTCGATCCTACTANCCCCCCCCCAGGTCTGAAAAATAATTTTCGCGCACATCCTCCGCCTGAGGGCTAAGTTTCGTAATCTTTAACACCTGTATTCCCATCCCGCCGCCAAGGATAGGAGTCATGAACTCGGACGTCCGTCAGAGAAACACATCGGCGAACCATTAGAAACATCTTTCACGTTATACTTAGTGGGACTAATTTTGTCGCCATAAAGCGATTACGTTTTTGATTTCCAGAAATTGAGTTCTCTTGTTGGAGAGAATGTACAGTTTGCTCGTATGTTCGGTGGATCACTCGATCCACTTCTTGTGGAATTATTCGCTGACAACACCTCTGAGGTTAGTGCTCATTGCAGTGATGTTTTACCACGTTGAATGTGATCCTCATTGAAGGTCATTCCATCACCATCCACAAGGGAGAAAGCAGACGTGTCCACTCAAACATACCCATCCACCTCACCAGCCTTGCCTTCCGATCTCGTAGAAGTACACGATGAAATTCCAACATGTACGGAGCCTACTCGCCCGGCTCCTGTGCTACCAACCGGTGGGAACTTATTTGAGTAGTGATATACTGATATAATAGTGTGGTGTTGAAATAATTTAATTGGATAGTGCACTCACAGTGAGATACTCATCGCTGAGAACCTCATTTCAAGTTCACTTCATATCTTCTTATTCTTTGCAGTGTGAGTGGCTATTGGTACTGGGAAAGAAACATGAAACAAAACTCATAACGGAATAAAATCAAACGGTTTTTTAGGTGTCTCTGTATAAGATTGAGGCAGGATGATATCGGAATTTCTTCTTTTTCAATAGACATCTGAAAACAGAATACGTAGCCATTTGAAGTATCAGTTTCTTAAATAGGTTGGTTTGACTGGCGTAATCCCTCCGGGATCCATCCATCCTTCCGGGAGCGGTGAATTGGTACCAGTACGCACTCATCACGCCACTACGATCCTGAATGGAAGTCTAGTGCGGGGGCGCAACCCTCAGACGGGATTGATTAACGCCAAAATCTTTATCCTTCATTCTTTAATCCCTGTCCGTATACGCGCTTTCTCTAGTGATTAATTAATGACGATGTCAAGGAATCTAAACAGACCAAGACAACTTTCCAGTTTCCAGCCCGAAGTTTCTTGAACCTGGCGCGTCGCTTTTTGTAGCCCCTTATAGCCATGGCTGCACTTGGCAGATAGGTGCAACACATCACTGGACCCAGCGATTCAGTAATGAGCGATTCGCAGAGATATGCTATGGTTAGAGCTGTTTTTGAAAGTATATATATGCCAAGGTAGGAGGCAGGGATAGCCGAGTGGATAAGAGTGTAGGCTCTCGTCTGCACTCAGAGGGAGTGCGAGTTCGATCCCTGCCAAGGCAACGCCATGCCTTATAAAAATTGCAAAAATGGTGTCGGTTTCAGCGTCAGGCCCAGGTTGACAGGCCGGCTGACGGAGAAACCAGTCACAACAAATATGTCTAAAGTCTCAAAGGGTATCAGTGATAAAGCTAGGACGTCACCCGGAAGTGGCTCAAAGGACCTCCGCCCGAGTTCTGTGGACAGTACGCGAGGGCTACCGAGGAGTGAACGACCTCGGCCAAAGCCGGTATTCGAATAGGGACTCTAAATTTTAGATCGCCTACTGGAAAGTCCCGGGAGGTCGCTGATCTTATGTAGCGCAGGAACATCCAAGTCCTATGCCTTCAGGAGACCCACTGGAAGGAAGCAAAGGCCAGAGAAATTGGAGAGGGTGTCAAACTCTTCTACAACGGACAGGACACCAAACGAAATGGTGTGGCCGTACCAGTGGCACAGTCCCTGAAGGACTCTGTCAACAGGATTAGCAGTCGGGTCATGACTGTGAGGATACACACGAAGGAATGGTATTGGACAACAATATTAGTGTACGCGCCTCAAGCGGCTACCCCTTCTACGAAAAGGATGTGTTCTATCTGAGTCTTGACGAGGCCATCCGATCAGTTCCGGAGGGGGACTATCTCACCATAGCAGATGATCTGAATGGGCACGTCGGCAGTGGGGGAAACTCGAGATGGCTTCCGAGGGGACAAGGAAGCACGGTTCTGGAATGATGAAGTCTAACGAGTTGTGAGGCAGAAGAAGTGGGTTTACAAGCACTTATGTACGTTTTCCTCCTCTACTGTGTTCGGCATTACCGCTCGTGCACTTAAGAAATCGCAAAAAGAAAAGAAGTTTCAGAAAGACTATCATCCGTATTCCCAGTTAATTTTGAGTTCATGCTCTTTGGGGTATCTGGAACATAATCAGATTGCAGGTTGATGGTGGTAAATATTCACAATACACACATGCTACACATATTGTAATGTCGCATGATTAGATCCAGTAGGAAAGAAGTTACGACTTCTGTTTCTGCCTTGAATTTCCAGTTTTTTTCAGCTTTTGATACATGGGACTGAAAGAGCATTATATTTGTCATAACTAGCATAAATTTTTTCTGGTATTAGCGCAACCGATGCAAAATAAACGGGTCAGCCGATCGATTTCAGTCAATCCAACCATGACCTATGGTCCGTTCTATTTTCCTGGTCAACAGTTTCAAGTGCCTCACGCAGTCAGCTACGCAACATCGCAGCCGTACACCCAACCGACATTCTTCGACTCATCTACAGCTCCAACGCAGTTCCGATTCATGTAGGTCAAGCTGTGTCCGGGCTCGTCATGGTTTGCTGAATACTTTTCAAAATTCTAAAAAGATGTTTTGTTTTAGTATGATCACTAGTTTAATTTTGTTGTCTATCACCGCTTAGGCACTGAAGTTGTTTTTTCTCTCTCCGAAATTAATGTTTATGAATCGTTGTCACTAGAAGTGATTCAGCTATGCCACTGCTGCTGCAGTTCGTGCAGAGCGGTGTGTCACTCGGCTTGTTACTGAGGTGAGTGTATAGAGCAGCACTAAAGAATCACAGCAGTCCTTTTGTTGCAATGAGATTCAGGTAAAAAACCTGAATCTTATTAATTGTATCAAATTTTAGTCTTCTATTCAAAGCTATTCGTCCTCTTGAATATCCTTTCTTTGAGCTTCATACCTCTATAGAACGAATTTTGTTAATAGGCAGTATTCATGTTGATTTACCTGAAGCTTAATTTCATATCCACGCATCAAATTGAAGCGCGAACATCTCGTGGCAATACCTCTCGCCCAATCTAAGCATGCAATTGACATTAAAAACGAAACTTGGGGGCACGAAAGGTGCGTCAGGGCTGAGTGAGTCCCGAGTGGTATCAAACGGGGTAAGTAGATTCTGTTTTCACTATTCTGTGTCCTTGAGCTCACTAGTTACTTAATCCAACAGTTCGTAATATTAACATCTACGGCAACCGCCGTAGTCGATTTTGTTTGAATGCTTCGATTGGGTACTTGGGCACTAGTCCAATTTCGAATAGGATAAGCTGAGTCGTATCTCTTACCAGGGAAGTATTTCAACTCCCCATGGAACTTTGAATAGAGACCTAGGTATACCGATAGCGCTTGGAAAGTTATCAACAAATATGGAAATTAAAACTGCGGGCTTGGAAAGTTATTAACAAATATGGAAATTAAAACTGCAAAATGAGTCTACCAAAAAAGTTGTGAGTGCTCGAAGTTTGCATGGGTAAAGCATGGAGAGATAGTGCCAGTTGATAAGTGCACTTGCCCGCAATGCCCACAAGGGTCCCCGTGGCGTAGTGGTAGTGCTCTTCAGGTGAGCGATGAGGATTTGCTCCTCGTTACTGTTTTCGCTTTTGCAAAACGTGCTTTCCTCTAAGTAAAAGCTTCTAAACCTTTTTTTTTCTACTTTAAGTTAAAGCTTTGTTTCAGCTATCATTTGCGATATCTATTTATCACCTATCACGTTTATATAAAATTTGTCTACACCTTTTTTGTAACGCTCTTTCATTTTCAACATCGAATTAAACACCCAAAGTAAAATAGCCTTTGACAGGCGAGAAAACTCAACATCGATGAAACAACCCAAAAAACGGGTAGAGGAACGTGTATCCTTTGATCTTGAATCGATTGATTCGTGCACGGTTATAGAGAGACAGCATAAATAAAGTTCGCATTTTGTGAACTCTTACCTCACTCATTTCTTGGATTCTTTCATCAATATTCAGTTTTCACGCATATGAAGTGATTCGGGTTTCCCGCTCCACCTCAAGTAATATAAAAAATGTGCGGTGATAGGTGATATATAGGTGTTCGCAAATGGTCGAATCAAAGTGCTAACTCAAATTAGTAAGAAGAATGGATTTAAGAGCCTTTATTTGGATGAAAACACTTTTGCAAAAGCGAAAGCGACAAAGGGGAGCAAACCTCTCATCGCTCAACTGGAGAGCACTGCCCACGGGGACCCTTGTGAGGATTTCGAGCAACTGCGCTTATCAACTGGTACTATCTCTCCATGCTTTACCCATGCAAACTTTGAGCACCCACAACTCTTTTGTTAGACTCACTTTGCAGTTTTAACTTCCATATTTAATGACAATTTTCCAAGCCCTATCGATATACCTAGGTCTCTATTCGAAGTTCCATGAGAAGTTGAAACCATTCCCTAGATAGATGTTGTATTTAATGAGTACATAAATTCATCAATTGTGAAACCATCTTCCCGCTTTTCATGAAATGATGCGCTTCGGAGATAGCAAGTAATTGGCACATGCGTTACCCTACTAATACTTGTTGTTTCTACATGTGCGCGGCATTTTATGAACCCTTGTTACATGTATCATTGCTGTTCCCGAATATATATATACAATATTTCTTCTCCGCCTAGTCTCTCTTTTAACTATCCGGTGTGTTGTTATTGCAAGTTGTCAATTTTTCAAACGCGACCATTTGCTGGCCTTCAAAAGGGGAGTCCACTACTTGATAGGCACGAGAGTCGTTCATATTCAAGTATATACCAGCTCATTGTATTCTGTTTTATCAGTGTAAATTTTGGGACAAGCAACGCTGGACACCTCAAGTTTGGCGAGTGCTTTTTGCCAAGTCTTAGTCACACCTTCATGTATAGTGGAATGGTACTTCAGTGATGAATTTTGCTCGAAGTAAGGTGCCTCACCTTCCTTTTTGGTGACACATTTTACGTCCAATATGAATATTTGTTAGTTTTTACGATGTCTTCTCAAGTCACATTAGCTTAATCTAGGTACAGTATCCTTATAACGTGCTAAGCGTGTATGTTGGTTTGTCGGTGTGTGTTTGTAGGTCGATGTGTGTGTTCGATCGTGAATTCATAAGCCTTGCTCCCAAGGACCTGGAGGTTTCAAAACTGGTATGAGTAAAGCCGGTGCTCGATGATAGTATCAATGGTAGGTGGCAGGGTTCGACTTGCCCAGCGCCTGCGCACAGATTGTTGATTTGGACCAAGAGTGTTCAAATTTGGTAGTAAGGGTAGGAGTGCCAGGATAGGAACCCTGATAGTAGGTGTCAGGAATATACTCCGCTCATGTGGGCGGGTTTTGAAAAAAATTAAACTCGGGCCAGAAGTTTGGAAAATCCGTGGAAGTACAAGCGGTAAGACCGATGATCTGTGGCATGAAT